GAGCCTCTGGAAGGACATGTGGGGGCCTCGGGCTGAGCCACGAATGGGCCTGGACAAGGCCCCTGGCCTGCCTCCTAGCCCGAGGCCCCATGGCTCGGACCAGCCCGGTGCTGACCCCTGCCTCCCTGGGCTGGTGCTCACTGCCCTGCTCTCCCTCTCAGAGCCACAGCCCGCCCTTGAGGGCCAGGGGCAGGCCTCTACCGAGGGACAGACAGCCATGTGCCCAGTAGCTGGGCGGCAGACTCACAGGCCAGCAGGAGAGATTGGCCCTCTTATGCCCTGCCCTGGTGGCTGGGGATGGCTCCTGGTATGCAAGGCCCTCCAGTGAGCCCTGGAGTTGCTGAGGGGGCCCTGTTCCAGCCTGCCTGCAGCCACATCAGCAAAGCTCTGGGGCCCTGGGGGTTTGGAGGCCAGAAGACCAGGTGTAGCCCGGCCTCTGGGACCTGGAGGCCGACTCTACTCTCTCAGGCCGCACTCTTCCCCTGCTTTTCCTGTGGGCACTTGCTCCATCCTGCAGGTCTCCACTTCCGTGGGTGGGGGGGACCTTCTGGAGCCAGCCTCACCTGCGTCTCCTCGGGGGTTCCTCCCTACACCTGAGGCCTGCTGACTGCACAGGAGCGGAGCTGTGGGACCTGTGCAGCTCGCCTGCACTGCGGCCCAGCCTGGGAGCAGGCAGACGCCCGCAGGTGGGGCAGGCTCCTGTTCCAGCCAGTCTGCTTTAGCCACTCCCTTGTTTGTGCTTTAGAGTCCTGCCCCCCACCCCCAGCTCAGTGCCAGGACCCTACCTCTTTCTTAGGCGTGGGGGGTGTCTTGGCAAGCCTCCTATCACCCTGGCCTGATCTCACCATCTGCCTTTCTGAGGGTCATCTCACCTGCCTCCTTTCTGAATAAGGGGTGGGGGATCCTCCCTGGAGCCCCTTTTTCTGGCCAGTTTAGGACATCGGCACATGGATGTGGAGCTTAGACGTCCCAGGGGCTGAGGCTAGTTAGCCTGGAGTGAGCGTCGTGTGGGTGTAAGGGACACAGCCTTGGGGACCATGCCCCTCAGTCAGTTCAGTCACTCAGTCATGTCCTTTTTGTGACCCCATGGACTGCAGCATGCCAGGCTTCCCTGTCCATCACCAACTCCTGGAGTTTACTCAAACTCATGTCCATCAAGTCGGTAATGCCATCCAACCATCTCATCTACTGTCCCCTTCTCCTGCCTTCAGTCTTTCCCAGCATCAGGGTCTTTTCCAACGCCTAGTTTTTCCGTGCGCCCAGGGTGGACAAGAAGCTGCCCCTGGCCACCGCAACCCCGCCCCCCACCCAATTGGGCGGTGCCGTGGGCCCCCAGGGGATGCTGGTTGTCCCTGGCCCCCAGCCAGCAGGGCGTCAGAGGTGGTGGCGGCCCCGCGCTGTCTTGAGCCCCGCACGCTCCCCGAGGGGGCCGAGTTGGTCTGCCTGAGGTCACTGTTTCAATGTGTATTCTGAGTACTTTCAGCCGTGTGTGCACCGCGGGGACTTGGCCTGTGCACTGTGTGTGCAGCCCATACTTGGTGGGCTGTGTAATATGCGGAGGCGTTGCCAAGGGCAGCGGAAATGTGGACTCTGTCCAGCATAATCACATGAATCTACCACCACCCGCCCCTGCCCTGCCCCCGGCCCGTCCCACCTGCTGCCTGGGTACTGCTGGGGTAGGAGGACGAGGGCCAGCGCTTCGTCCCCATCGAGCTGTGTCCACCACCAGGTCCCCCTCCAGGCTGGGGAAACAGGCTGCCCCGGAGAGAGGGGGGTGCAGACCAGGGAAGGTGGGGCAGGGGTCTCCAGGCCTCATCCCTGCAGGTCTGCGGAGAGATGGGCCCCCGGGGCCTGGGGCCATTCGGCCCTCCCTCCCACCTGGCCCTGAGCTGAGGCCCCGGATCCTGAGTCTTCAATTTCAGTGGTTATGAGTTTGCCAGCCCTGCCAGAACAAAGGACCACTGAGGGGCTCCAACAACAGGAATTTGCTTTCTCCCAGTCTTGCCGGTTGGAAGTGCCGGCTCAAGGGGTTGTCGGGAGTGGTTACCCGAGGCTCTCTCCCTGGCTTGGAGGCGGTCATCTTGTTCTGTCTCCACGTGGTCTTCCCTCCGTGCATTTCTGTGTCCTGATCTCTGTGTCCTCATCTTCTGAGGACACCAGTCATATTGGGTTGGGGCCCACCCTTCGAACTTCCTCTTAACTACCTCTTAAAGACCTTATCTCCAAATACTGCCATGTTCTGAGTTACTGGGGGTTAGGACTTCAGTGTATTAATTTACCAGCAGGGAGCGATACCCAGTTCAGCTCGTAACACCAGTAGATGAGCAAAGCCACCTTCTCTGGGGTGCCTTCGGCATCATCCTTGTTGGGCCACCTCAGCCCACCCTGGCTGCAGGGCGGGACACCGCGACTGGGCCAGGGGTCTGAGGTCCCGCACAGGCGGCAGCTGCACCCTGGGGGAGGCTCATTCTGCATTCAGCTCAGTTCTGAGGAGAGGAAGCTGGGGCTCCCAGGGATGCTGGGGGCGGCTCCCCTCCTTTGCTTAGCTGAGGGGCACTCAGTTGCCACGGTGACCTCTGTCTGCACAGTCAAACACACACAGCCCAGCCACTGCTCCAGGCTGGAGGGCTCCCCACCCCCTCCTCCGAGTTCACACTGAGTGTTGAGTCCCTTGGTGACGAAAACATGGAAACAGTTGCCATGGCAGCCATTCTTTGGAGCCCTCAGACTGGAGTGCAAAGTTCAGGATGCCCAGGAACAGCTGAAATGAAAATATGGGAAAATCCACCACTTGCTTCACCCCAGAAGGGTGGGATTCAACGGAGGGCCTGGCCATTCGTGCCCCTTCCCGTCGTCCTGGGCCAAGCATGGGCACAGAAGGGGCATGGGGAGGGCCTGGGGAGTAGCCCCCTGAGACCATGAGAGAGGTGGGCCAGCATGGTTAGTGGGCCCAGCGCCGGAGCTAAGAGGGCAGGTGAGACTGCTCGGCCCCCCTCGGGTGCACATCCGCGTGGCTCCTGGAGCCCCTGAGCCCACCCTGTCTTGGTGTCTTCACCTGTAGAGACAAGCCCCTTTCTCAGGAGGGCTCAGGTCTACACAGATGCTAGGAGAACCTTCAGCCTGACCTGGGGTGGAGGGGAAGGTGCCAGGTTCTGACCGTGGGGATGGAGGAGGAGTGCAAGTTTCCTTTGGCTGGAGGCTAGTACAGCGTAGACATCTGCACTTAGCCCCTGGAACGGCATGTGTCCCCTACACCCAGAATAGGCCCTGTGGGGGTTCTGGTGACTTGAGATAACCACCCAAAGGGCCCTGCAGTCAGCGTTGTTTGGGAAACCCATGGCTGTGTCGGCACACACAATTTGTAGATTAAAGGCTCTGAAAAGTCCCGCAGTAAGAAAATTTTTTGACTTTAACCCACTATTTCATCTAGTGGTCTGAACAAAATCTATTCCCCCCTCCCCCTTAAAAATGTTTTTTCTCTTATAACATACCTTATATCCGGTGGAAATAGCATCTGTTGACATTCACTAGGGCATTGATTCTCAAACTGTGTTCCCTGGATCAGCACCATCTGTAGTTTGTCAGAAGTGTGCCTTCCTGGGCCCCACTCCACACCTGGTGAATCAGAAATTGGGGCGAGGCCAGCGACGTGTGTGTGACAAGCTGTCGAGGGGATTCTGATACCTGCCTCAGCTAGAGAGCCCCCATACTCAGGGAAATAGTAGCAGAGAACTGAAAGGGAGGGGAATGGCCTGGGGGCTTGGGGAGGGTCCAGAGGACAGGGCGGCCTGGCAGGGATGGGAGGAGATAATACAAGGACCCTGGACTTCAGAAGAGGTGCTGTGGCTGCCTTCAAGGGCTGCTCAGGGTACATGGCCCCTGGGCACTGAGACCCCAGTCTGAGATTAGATTAAGAGCAAGGTTGTGTGTCTGGGGGTGTCATGAGGCTTGATGTTAGGTGGTGGGGCTGCTGGAAATAGCCAGGAGGTACTGCCCATGTTGGTCTGCCCCCAGTGGCCAGCACTGTGCTCATGGAGGGCACTTGCCTGAACAGCTGGATTCTGCCCAGAATTCAGGGGGTGTGGTCAGTTCCTATAGTGTCTTCCTGGACTCTAAGGGGGATTGTCCCCAAAGACAGGGCTGGGTGGCACCTTCAACACAGGCAGGAAGTAAGACTTCTCAGAGCAGTGGCCTTGGCAGATATACCAGCAGGCAGGGTTCTAGGATCAGCTTTGCCTCCACACACCCATTCCCCCAGTGGGGCTCCCCCTGCGGTCACTTCCCAGCACTGGGTCTCCTATTCCTTCTTCACCAAACAGGCCGCCCCATCGCGGGCCCCCTCGGCGGCAGAAGTCAGGGCGCCCAGGCGGCAGCCGAGGCCCACGCCCTACCTGTGCTTCCTTGCAGCCGTCCAGATCCACATCCTGAAGGCGGACAAGGCGGGGGACTGGTGGAAGTTCACGGTGAACATCATCTCCGTGTACAAGCAGGGCACCAGCCGCATCCGTCGCGGTGACCAGAACCTGTGGATCCGCTCGCGGGACATCGCCTGCAAGTGCCCGAAAATCAAGCCCCTCAAGAAGTACCTGCTGCTGGGCAACGCGGAGGACTCGCCTGACCAGAGCGGCATCGTGGCGGACAAGAGCAGCCTGGTGATCCAGTGGCGGGACACGTGGGCGCGGCGGCTGCGCAAGTTCCAGCAGCGCGAGAAGAAGGGCAAGTGCAAGAAGGCCTAGCGCGGAGGCAGCGGCGCGCCGGCGGGCTGGGTGCGGGCCGGCCACCGCGGCGCGGACTTGGCTCACGGGGGCTTTCCCAGCTGGGGGGAGGGTGGGGCCGGGGCCGGGGCCCTCGGCGGCCCCGCCCCCAGCCCCCTGGGCGGCCAGGCCCCGGAGAGTTGAGGACCGAGACTTAGCTACCTCACGGGCTCCCTCCAGAGCAGAGATGCGTTTCCCCGGGGCGGGAGGGAGGCCGGGGCAGGGGCGGGCAGGTGGGCCGCAGCGATGGGTAGAGAAGGGCACGTGAGAAGGAGAACTGTGAACCCCCAGGCCCGCAGCCCCAAACAGAAAACCCCGTTTGGTTCCCCCGATCCTTCTTGGGGCATTGCCACAGGAACCCTGGCTGTGACAACTCGGGCTCCCTTCTGCAGCGGCCTGGGGGCACCGCGGGTGGGGCGGGGGCGGAAGTGGCCTGTCCAGCCAGCCCTCCCCGTGCCCCCGCCATCCTCCTGGTGGTGGGGGGTGCGGAGGGGTTACAGTCTGCACAGCCAGAGCAGTGACGCCCCTCCTGGTCCTGCCCTGGCCGGGATTGGGGTGGGTGGGTGCTTGGCCAGGCTTCTGGACCAGGGACACCCCCAAGAAGCCCACGCCGGGTGGTCGGTCACTGCTCACGCCGGAGCTGTCTGATGGAGGAGTAATTGCCAACGCAAAACCTCCCAGAGAGTTTCCTTTCTGGAAAGTTGGAAGCAGCCCCTTTATGACATTTTCCAGGGGAGGGGGAGGGGGCACTGGCTGGGCTTACGGCAGCGACACTATTTGTGTAATGACATCAGCTCCCACAAGGCCCCTCAGCAATGTCAACAGCTGGGAAGGGCCTGGAAGGCAGGCTGCTAAGGCAGTTGGGCCTGGCGGGGATGGGGGGTGGGAGTGGGCTGGCTGGAGTGGGGACCCGCTCCACTGGCTCAGGGAGGCGCGGGAGTGCCCAAGTCACAGGCTGGCAGGGCTGGAACCATTAGGGTCCCAGGTACCAGGGGAGCCGTGCCCATTTCCTGCTGGGCCCTCACTCCTGACTCCCCAAGGAGCGGACAGAGGAGGCTTCCCACCACCATCCTGGTATGGCCTGGGTGGCACCTCACCCCCTCTGGCGGCCCCCTCTGTGGATGCCTCCCAGGCCCCCTAGTGGGGTCAGGCTCCCTTTCCAAAGCTCCTGAGAGATACTGTCTCCAAGCCGGCAGCCCTAAACGTCCAGGTCTGATGGCCTCACACAGGACCTGTGCCCAGGGGCCCCCACCCCCCTAGCCGGCACTCTGAATTCAAGGCCTGGCTCCTCTCTCAGTCAGGAAATTGGTTTCATCTTCCCTGCTGGAGTTTGGCTGCTCAGAAGGGTCACACCAAGTATGAAGCTCGGGCCCTCCTGGTTTGGCTTTCCTCTGCTTCCTCCCACATTGCCACCGCCACCATTTACCGAGCACCTGCTCTGTGCCAGGCACTTTACCCCCGTAACCTCACACTATCTTCATGACAGACCCGTGAGACAGGGGTCCTCACCGGGTACTATAACCCCTCTTTGGTTCCCTCGCAGGCTGCAGGGGGTGCTTCTGGGTGAGTCACCCCTGAGACGCTGGCCCTGGTGATGGCATCTGGCCTGGAGAACAGACGTCAGGAACTGGGGGCTGGGATGGGCACAGTCATATCTTGAGAGGTGACAGCCAGGGCGGTGCGTGAGGCCAGTGTACACTCACTCCAGGTTCCAGGCAGGCAGGCCGTGGCTGGTCCTAAGGTGTAGGCAGAAAGGATGTCTGGTTGCCTGGAGGGGTTCCAGAGATGCCCCCAGGGGCAGGGGAAGGACCGAATGGGCCTGGGAAGGGGTCGCTGTCCTGCCTGACTCCGAGCCCTAGGCTGGAAGTGTAGGGCCCTCTCCACCCAGCCGGCCCTCCCCCACTGCCCGTGTGGTTCGGGTGTGTTTTGTTGGCTCACAGTCCACGAGAAGCTCTGTCCTGTGTGGGCAGTCGTCCTCTTTCTGTTTGCACCAGCATGGCAGCCCCGCCAGCTCCACCCTAGGCCCAAGTCTCAGTCCCTGTCGCGAGGGGGGCTTGCACTGGTGGTCTCCGTGGCCAGCAGCCCGCCAGGCAGCAATGCATCTTGCTTTAAATTCAGCCAGTCTCACCCTCTGGCTCAGCACCCCGAGAGCAGAGTAGCCTGGCCTCTGGGGAATGTCAGGGCCACCAGTCAGCTAGTGGGGAGAGGAACTCGGGGTGGGGGGGCTCAGTCCTGGCAGGTGGCCTTCCCCACCCAGCCAGAACCCAGCCCACCACTCCTCTGAATCCAGCCCTCCCCCTTGGGAAAGCACCCCTCTTCTTCCCTCGCCCACCCAACCCGGGTGGAAATGGAAATAGGAATTGAGGTTCCGGTTTGTACAGTTAGGAAAGGATGTAAAATGGAACTAGATTTTGAAGAGTGTATTAACCAGAGTTGTGATATGTAGGTGTTTGAAGAAAAACATACCAGATTAGTCTTTCTTTTTTTAAAGAGATTTCCAAGTTGTCCTTTTTCTTACCTGCTGGGGGGTCTGGAGCCCCTGACAGCGGGGTCCCTGCTTTTCTGACACATAGTAATGCTAAGGATTGGGGTGGAGGGAAGGAAGAAGGATGAGGGGGGCTGCCCTCTGGACTCACCTGCAGCTTGGCTTCTGTTCTGAGCAAAGGAGGGTGAGGCAGGTCCTGGTGGTAAAGTGGGAGGGACCCCCGCAGTCCAAGCTGGGGGGCTGGGAGCTGCCCCCAGGCCTCTGGTACCCACCTAGCACTCTGCCCCCAGAGTAACTGCAGGAAATGGGTACAGCCTGTCTTGGGTTAACCCCAGGCTGGAGACTGAAATCAAGGAGAGACCCCTCGGGGTCAGGAGATGGTCCCTTTAGGCAACTGAAAAATGTTTGCAGTCTTCCTTTGATCAGTGAGACCCAGAGTGGATGAACTAGACCCATGGATAGGGTTACTGGGCCACGGTTCATGGCCATAGCCAAGTCGTACCCTAAGGGTATCGAAGTGTGTACTTGTAGGGCCTCGCCCCTGTCAGAATCAAGCCAGTCCTGCTCCCCGCGTCCTTGGACGTGGCTCCCCCTCCCCTCTGCACCTCCCCACTCCCCCCTGCGTTCCGGAGTTCTGTTCACTCAGAATTGTAAATGTTTAGTTGTGACCATGACATATTGTTTGGGTCAGTGTTCCTTTCCAATGCATACTAATATATTATGGTTATTATATATGAATATATTTAATGACATGGAAAAAGTTGTGGATTTTTTAAGTTTTTTCTTTTTTTTTTTTGGTTAGAGTTGTAATGGACCCAGATGGAACTTGTAACGTGGGCCCCACATGATAGAACTAAATTCAGATATCAATTAAATAAACTCTTGTACACTGTTCTCTGTCTCCCAGTTTTTATTGGTGGCCTGAGCTAGGGGTGGTCAGCCTGCTGGGTGAGAGGCTGGTGAGTCTTGAGGCCATTTAAGGAATATGGCTTCTGGTCTAAGAACTCCCAGCAAGACAAACCTGAGACCAAGGCCCCGTGATGCAATGGTGCCCAAACTTTTTGGCACCAGGGGCTGGTTTCATGGAAGACAGTTTCTCTACAGACTGGGGAGATGGTGGATGGTTTCAGGGGGAATCAAGTGCATTACATCTCTTGTGCACTTCATTATTACATCAGCTCCACCTCAAGATCATCAGGCATTAGATCCTGGAGACTGGGGGCCCCGGGGATAAGCCAGAGCCTGCCTGTGCTCTTCCCCATCTGACTCAGAACCTGCAAGTAGTTACTGCCCTTCATGTAACCAGTTTCTTCTATTCAAGTAGAGGGGAGACTCACCGGCAAAGACAGCAGGGTCAGTGACACTGGAGAATGTTCTCAAGCCGTCATGTGCTAACACTTCGTGAGGTGCAGGGATGGGGCCGGGGCCAGTGCCACCAGGAACTGAGCTCACTGGGTTTCTGGGAGACTATATTTAAACTTCCGAATGGTTGTGATTTCTCTATTAAATAAGCAATTCAGTCATTAGGAACATGTTGTGTTGCCATGCAAAGTGGAACTGATCGTCACCAGGAAGCTATAATTTCTGCACCCAGCTGTTTCAAAGACAAGTCTCAACGACACAGATTCATCCTTCCCCTGTATGGCACGGAAGGCCCTTCCCACTGCATGATCTGGCTGGGAAGCCATGAGCTGCTGCTCAGGAAGGACTAAGGGTTTCCCAGGGTGCGCCAGTGGTAAAGACCCTCCTGCCAATGCAGGAGACATATGAGACACGGGTTCAATCCCTGGGTTGGGACGATCACCTGGAGGAGGGCATGGCAACCCACTCCGGTACTCTTTGACTGGAGAATCCCATGGACAGAGGAGCCTGGAGGGCTGCAGTCCATGGGGTCTGAAGCAACTTAGCACACAGGCAGGAAGGAATAAGGCCCGTCCTGCCTCAAGGGCTGTAGGCATGGGAGCTGTGCTCTCAGAACCAGGGGTCAAAGCCAGCGCAGGTGGATGTAGGGGTGGTCCCCAGTGTAAGCCCCATCACAAGGGAGCACTGACAGCCCGTGGCAGAGATGGGATACAGGTCCCAAGTGGCCGGACAAGCCAAGGGGAAAGCGAGGCTTTTCTGCAGCTTTGGGCTCCCCTCAAAGCCAGTTCAGACCCAGCTGGACCATTTGCCGGATTTTAGACATCTGCCAAACTCAGTGCAGGAAATCAGCCGGCTCCCTGTGGAGCACTGACCCAGGGTGGTTGGAAAAGTCCATTTTAGAGACTGGAATGCTGAGGCACAAGGAAACAAATTCCCATCAGGGACTTGGGGGCCAGCAGAGTTCAGTCAGAAGCCCAGACCCTGCTGGGTGAGAGCTCCCCAGGGTCTGGCCAAGGAGGTGCCCACATTTCTAAAGGCCTCCCCCACACCTCCACCTGCCAGGGCCTGAGACAGCACCGTGGATGGGGGCCGCCCGCTCATGGTAGAGACACACCTGGGTTTCAGACTCTGTTGAACACAGCTCTGTCTATGTTAAGACTAAATAAAGATGTATAAGAAATACACCAAAAAAACCTAGGTGTGAAAGGACAGCCCATGTGAGAAATACAGCAATGAATTAATCCATCCAAAAACTGTATCAAAGTGGAGACTCGACCCGAGCATCTCACCCCCACCCTCATGTCAGGGTGGATGTGGGCATGCAGGTGGCAAGGGCCCTGCCTCCAGCCCACCCAGCAATCACCCCCTTCTTGCCCTGGGGGCCCAGGATGTAGATATTGTACAAAAGTTTCTAAATCCCTTCTTTTCTATGCATTTTTTAATTTAAGGGGGTGGGATCACAGGTGGGAACCCCCCCACAATACCACAATAAAGTCTGTCAGTGTTCGGGGAAAAAAAAAAAAAGTGGAGACTCTACAGGCCAGCAAGTCTGGTCTGCAAAGATGCAGATGCCTTCTGTTACTGCAGGCAGTTGGGAGGAACTCTGAAGCCATAAGAAGCAATGAAGGAAAGAGGAGCCTTGGCCCACTTTTCAAAAAAAAAGGTGGGGAAAACCACACTTACCTACAGCAGGGCTAGGTTAGAAAACCCAGTAAAAGATGACCTTGCGCTAGTCTACGCCAAGAGGCAGGGAGTACCAGCCACAGGCCAGCCGGCAGTTCTCGGAGGACGCACGGGTCAGGAGCGCACCCAACACTTTTCAAAGCAGGACGGTCTGGGGTCCTGCAGGAGCCCGGTGGAAGGAGGGCCCAGGGCTTGGCCAGGAGCAGGGGTCCTGGGGCTACTGAAAACTAAGCTTTAGTGACAGCTGTTGATAATCATGAGGCTTCAACAGAACAAAAGCACCAGTTGGAACCAGGTACCCGGATTCCTTTACATGGTACACCTTGCCTCGAGAATTCCATGGACAAAGGAGCCTGGCGGACTACAGTCCATGGGGTCACAAAGAATCGGACACAACTGAGCGACTAAATAACAACAAGACTTTAAATGCTTATGGTTAGTAAATAATCAGTTCAACAATACTTATGATGTTGTTTTAATAAAGTTACTTTCATTGGAAATGCACCCAAGGTGATGGGGTCTCGCTGCTTTCTATGCTTAGAGTTGTGCCTGTTCACGCCACCTGTCCAGAGCTTTTGAGCCACCCTGGGACCCTGGTCCTGATGCTTCTGTGGAGTGTAGGGGACGGGAAACCAGGTCTGGTCAGACCCAGCTGGAAAAGGCCACAGGACTGCACCATGTGCCCTGATGCAGCAGACCCTGAGAGGCTCCGCCCAGCCACTCGAGATGCCTTGCCAGTTTCAGGCCACCCTTCCGTTCAGGGTGGGCCAGGTGTCTCCTGTGAGAAGCCCACCCCGAGGAAGCTGGGGTACAGGGGAGCCTCCCTGCCTGGCACTGCTCCAGGCCTGGATTACAGATCCCACAGTCTCAACCAACTAGCTTCTTCCGCCAGCCCTGTCCCTGGGTCCAGAGAAGTGAAGCCACTGGTCCCATGACAGCAGTGCGCGGGCCGGGCCTTGAGCGCGCTCAGCCGGGAGGACAGAGGCTGCTGCGTGAGGACCTGGGCTCCACATTTGGCTCGGAAAGGCCTTCCCCGTGTGGCTGAGGCCAACGGGGCTCTGGCTCAAAGATGCCTTACGAGTTGCCGGGGCTCCATGCTCAGCAAGTAAGGAGGAGGTGAGAAAGTCAAACAGGCCTTCAGTGCCACCTCCCATGAGCCCGGAATTGGGGGACTCCAAGGAGACACTGTTTATACAGATTTGGGGTTTTGCACGACAAGATGGGTGGATTCTTGCTCTTCCATTGGGGCATCCATTGGCAATTGTCCCACCCCCTGCCCACAGGGAAAATGCCTCCAGAGCGCCTTAAGGTCCAAACCGCCCCCCGCCCCCACCGTCCAGCTTGGCCCCTCTGCTGGTGTCTTGGCCTTGACACAAGCGCACCTCCATGTCCTGTCCTCTGCTACCCTGACCTGATCCCTACAGTGGGGCTCCCGCTCACGGCTGCCCTGCTCCCCACCCTCCGGTCCCCGGTCTGAACACGCTTCCAGGGCCTCGCCAGGTCTGCACAGGCTGGCTGCCCGGGAGGTCAGCGGGCACCGCTGCTGTGCCCCAGCTCTCTCACATCCTCATGACAGCTGGCGCTGGGTTGGAGAGGAGGCCTGAGCCCTGGACATGGTGACAGCCTGGCCCAGCGGGTGTAGACTATGCCGAGCCACTCTGGCTGCTCTGTGCCGACACGGGCTGATTCACCTGGTCCTCATGGCAGCCCTGGAGGCAGGAGACCGTCTTCTCTCCATTTCCTAGAGGAGGAAATGCAGGCCCAGGCAGGGCACCTGGCCCGTGGTCACACAGCTAACGAGCAATGTGCTGGTCACTGGGGCCGTCATTGCCCAGTTCAGGCTCTCAGTCTTCTGGGCACTTCCTGGTCCCCTTATTGAGCCGGGCAGGTGACAGTCCGGCCAGTGAGCTGTGAGCAGAGCTGACGGCTCCCCTCCTGGGCAGAGCATTCTACGGCTGGTGCGAGGGTGTCCAGAGTCCCCTTTCTTCTGCCAGAGCCGTGGGGCTGTCCCCTGTGCCTAGGTCTGGGCCCCCAGCTGACCTGTGTGGACGAGCAGCAGCGGGAAGGCCCTGACACTGGGACGGATCTAGGTCATCAGGATTTGGGGGGCTTGTGACTGCAATACTGTCCTGGCTAACACGGAGCCAAGTTATGACCAGGTACGACCTGGGCAGGCCAGGCCCAGGGCTAGACCGCCTCCCAGAAGAACTCCGTGTGTGACCATCACACACACAGCAGGTGGAAGTGGGACTACCCAGGTGGCCTGGAAGTGACCCAGCCCCTTGAGGGGAGAGCTGTCAGAAAGAAGGTCACCCACCCTTTGCAGTGACTTAGAAGAAACCGAGCTCGGAGCCAGGGCTCCCCTGATGGAGGCCCGCAGTCTGGACCCAGGTCTTCCCTGCTCACTGCCATTTCAGGTCTTGGGGTCCCAGGAGATAACGCTGTGCCAGGGGCACACAGCCCTCCCATGCCCATCTTGTAGTCTCTAGGGAATCCCCAGTAGACTCTCCCACCCCAAAATTCCCCTCCCACACACCCGATCTCGCCTCTTCCAGTGAAATTTTGTGCTTGGAAACCACCCTAATTTTTCTATCACCAACGCCAATTCTTTCTCCTTGAGCCATGGATGGCAAAGCAAGGCTTGGCAGCCCGGCCTGCCTTCTGACGGCCAAGGAGGAAGGCACGAAGCTTGGCCCTCCGCCCCTTCCCACCCGGATCCACCGCCGCCTTTGAGGGCCTGGAACCCCACTCAAGGTCTAGCCCATCTGTCTGCCCTCATCATCACACACGCATACATGTGTGCAACGCGTGCAGTGCACACTCATACACACGCAAGATTGTCACAGCTGGTTTGCTGTTGTTCAATTGCTAAGTTGTGTCCGACTTTGCAACCCTGAGGACTGCAGCATGCCAGGCTTCTCTGTCCTTCACTATCTCCCTGAATTTTCTCAAACTCATGTCCATTGAGTATTGATGCCATCCAAACATCTCATCCTCTGTCACCCCCTTTTCCTCCTGCTCTCAATCTTTCCCAACATCAGGGTCTTTTCCAATGGGTCGACTCTTTGCATCAGGTCAGGGCCAGTTTAGAAGCCAGAGAAAGGCCCTGTTCTGCCTGCAGAATCGCACCTTTCTTTGAACTCCACATGGTACTTTCCTGCCTGATTGTTCCCATCTCCCCGCCTGGTTCATCAGATTTGATTCCACTGCTGACAGAGATGCATTAGCTTTGGAAAAGTGGTTTACTACGTCAAGGGAGGAAAAAAGCACATGCTTCTAGGTCCAAGGGTAGTTCCCAAAGGAGAGTCCAGAGATACTTCACCATGAGGAGTGGCAAGCTTGGGGGGGGGCGGAGTTACACAGAGCCCTATCTGCATCACAGCGCCTTCCTCCCTCCAAGACACACGTGGCCTTGGCTGCTCACTGGTCTCCCACGTGGGCATGTGCCTGCCCGGATCAGACCAGACACTCCAGGTCACAAACGCCAAGAATTCAGTTGGAATTCAGCATCATCCCACAGGTGGCCCGGGACACTGCAGGGGTGGCCAGAATCCACTGGCGGCCAAGGGGCAGTGACCGCTGAGGGACCTTGGGCGGGTACCCCAATGACCAAGGCAGAACCCCAAAGAGCCATCCTGCTTGATACCTCAGCAGAGGCACCACCCGGTTTGTTTTTGCTGAAGCAACGCACAGCGAGGTGAGAACCTTGGGGGAATTTATTGAGAGCGGCTTTCGGGTACCAAGAGGATGCTCGGCTTTACTCCATCACTGGCAGGTGTCCTGGTTGGTAATCCCTGGATGGCCACTAGTTGGTCGGCCAGACTGCAACCACCACGATGGCCACGAGCAGTAGTAAAATCACCATTATCATCCCTGAAAAACAGAAGCATACAAGACCCCCTGTAATGCTTTCCACCAGCAGAACATCGCCTCTCCCGTGAAGTATCTTCTGAGACAGCGGGGCAGTTCTCCAGGGAGCCCCAGTGTGTGTCAGGGGTGTCAGCAGACAGGCAGGAGGGAGGGACTCTAGGGACCCCAAAGAGTTGCCATCTCGCTACCTGAAGAGTTGTGCCGGCCAAGTGCCCATGCTCCTGACCTGATAGGGCCTCCCCGTTCAGCCCCCGTTGCTCTGGCTTCTGTGTGCAACTTAGCCATGTTTTGTGTCCTCATTAATGACGGTGTGATAAAGCAAAGGGCTTTAGAGTTCACAAAGAAATACTGATTCTAGAATCCATTTTCTCCCCATCCACACGGCTTGGCCTTTTCTTCTTGGGCCGAAGAAACTTATGTCTTCCATCTGGAAAGAATTCCAAGAGAGGGACCTTTGCTTTACTTTTTTTTTTTAATATTAACATTCTCTAGTTTTACTTCAACTTTTTGGCTGGGGACCACAATGTACTCCCGGCCAGTCTGCTACCTGCATCCAGCCAAGGCCACCCCGTCTCCCTTGATTCACACATCTGGACCTACCACTGCCCATTCCTTCAAAGCAGATGAAGAGCGAGGGGCCAGGAGGACTCAGCTCGTTTACCCGACGCCCTCACCACCTTCCTTGCTGACTTCTCTGGTGGGTAACAGGTGCTGCCTTCACCCTGAAGGCCACCATGGTGGTGGCATGCCAGAGACATGGCACGGCTGTGACAGAGCAAGCTCTGAGAAATGAAGGATCCCTGAGCCACTGAAGCTCCGAGAGGTGAGTGAGGAGCAGATGAGATGAAGCATGAGAAAATGCTCTACAATCTGTTGGGGAGTCAGGGGTCATGTGGCCGTCTGGCCCACCAGGACTGCCCACTGCAGGCTGAGGAGCTGTGTTGGCCAAGGTCAGGGTCCCAAGGGTTTAGCCACTTATTCTCTCGAAGGAAGCCACTAACACGTTCTTGATCTTATTAGCTAGAATAACCACTGGCCACATCTGGCTTCAGGAGCTAAAGAGCCACATGTGGCCGATGGCTACTTTACTGGACAAAGACAATACAGGACAGACATCTCCATCATTTTGGCAAGTCCCATTGGGCAAAATGGACATACCGTGTGGAGTTCTGATTATTGTTTTACTGCCATTTATTTCCACACACAACTGCTGAACTGAGGAACGAATCAATAGCTACTCAATGTGTTTTCAACACTCATGCCACACTTGGACAGCTCCCCATGTGGGTAATTCTGCTTTCTTCTTGAGTTGGTGTTGTTAAATTATATTTTTTGGGGAAATTTCCCAGTTTTTCCTGAGTATCCAAAATTATTGGCGTAAGGCTATTCCTTAGATTCTCCTATAATTTTAGCACTACACCGTGTCTCAGTCCTTTTTATTTCTCACACCACCTGCTTGTGCACTTTTTTCCCTCAACCTTGCCACAAATGAGCTTTTTTATGAACCTTGTTTGACTTTGCTGATCACTTCTCATTTATTAATTTCTCCATTTACTTTTATTAATCCTACAACTCAGCCTTTCTTTGGATTTAGTTTGTCTTTTTCCTTGAACTTCTTTACTTGAAAGTTAATCATTTTCCACTTTCCTCTAAACAGTACCACTCTAAACCTACAAGTTTTGATACAAAATAATTTCAATAATTTCTAAATTCTATTATTTATTTATCTGCTGCCTTATGTGGCATGTGAGATCTTAGTTCTTGGCAGAGATCAAACCCGTGTCCCCTGCAGTGGAAGCATGGAGTCTTAAATCACTGAACCACCAGGGAATTCCCTCTAAATTCTAAATATTTAAAAATTTTCAACAATGTCTTCTTTGGCCCAATGATTATTTAGAAATGATTTTAAGATTTCCAATTTTACTGAAACAAGCTTATCGAAATGTACTTCTTAAAAATTCTGAGACAAGGACAGTGGTGGTGGTTTTAGTTGCTGAGTTGTGTCCGACTCATGAGACCCCATGGAATGTAGCCCGCCAGGTTCCTCTGACAACGATACATGTAGTATATGTTGGTGTGAAAACATTAGTGATTTCTGTGAGTGACAAAATTGCAAGCACGATTAGCCCTGCCGTGGTTTGCTGCTTACTTTCCTCATTGAAGAAAAGAAATGCTAAAGCTCAATCAGAGGTTTGTGAAGATAAGAGTGTAGATTTCTCATCCAAGTTCATGGACTCCCTGAATTCTATCCACAGGTGCCCAGGGTTCAATGTAATTCAGGCTGGGTAAATTTTAAACCCAACCCAAGTAAGCACAGCTTGCTCATGGTTTTAAATACTGAGGAAGGAGTAAAAAGTTCATGGCAAGCTTCCCTGTTACCTCCCTGTGACAGTGGGTGCACTTTTTCTAACCTGCCATCTTTCTCCAATGAACCAAGAGGAGAATGAACCAAGAGGAGAGCACCTCCTCTTGAGGACCTACGATGTTTTTTTTTCCTGTCTTCATAAAAACCAAGACTCCACTTCAGGGGTCAGCAAACTGTGGCCCACGGGCCATATCTGGCTTCTGGCCTGTTTTTGTACAACTCATGAGCTAAGAGTGGTTTTCATATTTTGAAAGGGTTGTCAAAAAAGAAACAGGAGATGTGACATATTGTCTGGGGTCTGCAAAGCCTAACGCGTTTACTGTCTGGCCTTTTACGGTATTTGCGGACCCTGCTCTGTCACTGAGGCCAACAGTGACCTCAGGGGCTAGGCTCTGGTTCTCGCTCCACTTCTTTCATCTGTGGATTTCCTTTCTTCCTTGTATTAATAAACGCAGACATCCATTAACACTTAAGGGGGTGGTGTAATAGTTTATCCAGCATTTCAAGATGCTTGTAGTAAGGGTGGGTGGGTGTGTGTATGTATGTACATATGTGTGACTATTATCTCAGTTCATCTTGCCAGAACCAGAACAACACATTTTTTCATTCATTTCTCCCTCCAGAAACATCTTCAGGTTGACCAAAGCCTCCACTTGGGCAGGAATCCCACTACTTCTTGGCTGGGGAAAAGGTTTATATTGTGCAATATCTTTCCTTAAAAAATAATGGAAATGGAGGAGGCAGACGGACTGATGGGAAGCAGCGGCAGGACAGTTTCTGGCCCTTCCAAGCCCGGGCTCACCCCGAAGACGAAGGGGAGGACTGCATTTTTTGAGGAAAGAGTAGAAAATGGGCTGAGTGGTAGCTGAGGAAGAAGCCATGCCACCGACACTCAGCCAGGATCTGAGTTGGGAGGCCGCCCCTGGGGCTCTGGTCCAGACTGAGGCTGCGATGGCCCAGAGGAGAGGCTCACAAATGGCCCTGAATTTTCAAATCAGGGTGATTATGGGAAAAGCAGAACCAGTGATGAAGACCAAGGAGTCAAGAACAATAACAGGCTGGGAAGGAGAAAGCATACATCTGGTTTGAGTTTCCACGCGTGAAGCCTACAGTCCAAGGGGAGCGGCCTCGGGCATCCGTAGTCACCAGCATCTCCTGCTTGGGTCACTGCGGGAACTGACCTGCTGCTCCTTTTACCTGATCCTTTCCCTCGAGTGAACTGGAATGGAAATCAGATCAGGCTGCTTCCTGGCTCAAAACTGTCTAGTGGATTAAAATCCACACACTTCATGGTGCTTGAAGGCCCTGGGCCATCCGCCCCGGGGCCCCTGAAGCTACACCCCGTACCTGTCCTCAGGCCACTCTGGCCTCCGGGTCCTCCCACGGGCCCTGTGCCCTGCCTCCCAGCCTGTACCCCTGCTGTCCAGAGGGTGCTCTCTCCCGGCACCCCTGGCCTAGTGAATCCCTGCTCGTCATCCAAAACTCAGCATCAGTTTCTGGGCCTCAAGGAGCCGCTTCGAGACCTGCAGTGGACCTTGTCCTCTGTCTCTGCAGTGAACCTTCCAACTATGATTTAGGTCCTCGGTTAGTTACTCTTTGTCGCCACCATCAACACAGGAGCATCCATGGCATGGCCTTTGCCCAGTGGGTTCACCACCACGTCCCCAGTGCCTGGAGCAGGGCCTGGCACATGAAAGAGGCAAGAGAGGTTCTTCTTTCTATAAATGAATAAATGGGGACCTCCCTGGTGGTCTGGTGGCTAGGACTCTGCGCTCCCAATGCAGGCGGCCTGGGTTCAATCCCAGGTGAGGGAATTAGACCCCACATGCCACAACTAAAGATCCTGCATGCCACAATGAAGACCCAGCACAGACAAATAAATAAAAATAAATATTTCCACAAAACCAACAGACACTTGCTTCTGGGAAGAAAAGTTATGACAAACCTAGACAGTGTATTAAAAAGCAGAGACATCACTTTGCTGACAAAGGTCTGTCTAGTCAAAGCTATGGCTTTCCAGTAGTCATGTACGGATTTGAGAGTTGGACCGTAACGAAGGCTGAGTGCTGAAGAATTGATGTTTTCACACTGTGGTGCTGGAGAAGACTCTTGCGAGTCCCTTGGATAGCAAGGAGATCAAATCAATCCATCCTAAAGGAAATCAATCCCAAATATTCTTTGGAAGGACTGAATGCTGAAGCTGAAGCTCCAAAACTTTGGCCACCTGATGCAAAGAGCCGACTCACTGGAAAAGACTCTGATGCTGGGAAAGGCTGAGGGCAGGAGAAGAAGGGGGTAGCAAAGGATGAGAAGGCTGGATGGCATCAGCTCAACAGATATGGGTTTGAGCAAACTCTGAGAGACAGTGAAGGACAGAGAAGCCTGGCGTGCTGCAGTCCGCGGGGTTGCAAAGAGGTGGACATGACTGAGCAACTGAACAACAACTAAATATTTTTTTTTTAATGAATAAATGCATTGAGTATCTGGAAGGAACAAGAAGAGCCAATGAGAAGGACACTGAAGGGACAGACAGCAGGGAGAGAGGAGCTGTTAAGACGTGTCAAGGAGGCCAAGAGACAAACTCCCAAAAATGCTCGACCCCAACTGCAAACTCTGCGGCCACACCAGGAGGGTGGAG